GCGATCCGTATGCCTTCCTGACTGTGCTAAATCTGCATGTGCACAAGGTATGTCTCGCAATCTCAAAGACTCTGCTGTCGGGAGCTATCTAGACGAACGTTGCGTTTCTGTAGGACCGGCCGTCCATCAAGGCACTCATCTCTTACATACTCGAAAAATCCTCTCCGGATAGCGTCTTGCACTCAAAACTGCAGGCTCTCCTTGGACCGAATGGCATATCTTCCTCGGACCACGTCGGGTTCATCTTCTCAGAGCGACTCATCAACATGCCCGTGCAAATAGTGCCCCACATGTACCGGATGCTTGCAGACGAGATTCAGTGGGCTCTTGACGACGTACGTCCTTCTTTCCCAAAGTTCTCTCTCTCCCTGCCAATCTTTGGCAATGCATACGATGTGCAGAGATGCAACCAAGCCTCCTTGGACGACCCATTACCACATACCAACTGCAGCTCACTTACCCACCCCAACAGAACGAGCCCTATGACTTCAGTTACTTCATCATCATTTCGCGCGTATACCGCTTGTCAGCAGAAGAGGCGGCTGAGCTCCAAGCATCTTCCCCGCGCACAAAGCGGCAGAAACAGTCAGAGCCGCCTCCGGCCGCTGGTGTATATCCCTTCCACCCAGAAGACGAGTACATTCGCAAGGTTCGCTACCCCTGTTCCTGCTTCACCAGCAGCCAAACTGATCCTATTGCATGACCACAGTTTGCGACACACACGCTGGATTACACCTTCACACATGCGCAGCCCAGGGATTCTGAAGCCTTCGGACTGGACACGGGTGGGCGTATGATGCTTGTGCCGGCTACACGTCTGCGTGATTTGGCAACCGCCCTCGTAGAGGCATATCCGCAACCTTCGTAGCCACGCTCTCCAACATGTACCTACATAGTGTATCCGTGTAACCTGCCCTGACACATACGTGTGTTTACAGTTATTTCGTGGAGGACCGCCTGCCAGAGAGTTCGGGCCTACGCCGGCCCAAAGTCATATCCGTGTAGCAGTCTGTGTGCAACCTCGCGTCGACGAAGTCCTTGAAATTTGACTAGTACAGGATCCAGCTTGGTGTAGTCGTGGCAGAGTCTCAGGTTAGCGAAGGTGGCGGCGAGTTGCCGAAAGGAGTAGCGCGCAGGTTGCGCAGAACTCCGCGTCCGGCTGCGTAGTCCTGCGTCACTGTCCATCCTCTCCCACTACTTTCCCTTCCTCTCTCGCGGCCGCGCGGCGCGTATACGACCACTCTTTCTAGCTTGTCTGGTCTCGTACAGGATCCTCAGCCATGTCCGCGACGCCAGCAGCACCTGTGGAGGAGGGCAAGCTCCTCAGCGAGTCTCTCAGCATCGTCAAGCTGCAAGACAAGCAGATGAAGCGACATCTCGTTCGTGCACAGCAGGATTGACCAGGCTTCTGTTACCTGACCGCGCTTTGTCTACATCAGGAGCTGGACCAGTTGATGGACGCGCTGAAGAGCGCGAGTCTGATGTTGGCTGAGCTTCGGACGTCCTCGCTCTCGCCCAAACAGTACTATGAGCTATGTGCGTATATCTGCGCTATACACACCAGCTTGCAGCCTTAACTTCCCCCCTCGCTAGACATGGCTGTCTTCGATGCTCTTCGTCATTTATCCAACTATCTATACGACGCGCACGTCCAAAACCGGCACCACCTCGCGGACCTCTACGAACTTGTACAATATGCCGGCAACATCGTGCCCCGACTCTACCTCATGATCACCGTCGGCTCTGTCTACATGTCTATTCCAGACGCGCCCGTGAAGGAGGTCATGAAGGACATGCTGGAGATGTCGCGGGGAGTGCTGCACCCAATCAGGGGATTGTTCCTTCGGCACTACCTCAGCGGGCAGACGAGGGATCATCTACCAGTTGGAAATGATGACGGGTGTGTCGTAATGATTCTGGAACCTGACCTCAATGAGACTGACCCATGACAGACCGAAGGGCAATCTTCAAGACTCCATCAACTTCGTGCTCACGAACTTCATTGAAATGAACAAATTGTGGGTACGGCTCCAGCACCAGGGTCACTCAAGAGATCGCGAGAAGCGCGAGATGGAGCGGCGCGAGCTCCGTATCCTTGTTGGCACGAATCTGGTTCGACTCAGTCAGCTAGACGGCGTCGACCTGGAGATGTACCAGACCATCATCCTTCCCAGCATCCTCCAGCAAATAGTTGTTTGCAAAGATGTCATCGCTCAGGAGTACTTGATGGAGGTGGTCATCCAGGTGCGTAGACTTATGCTTTCTCAAATCCAGTTTCTACAGCGATATCTGCTAGGTGTTCACGGACGAGTTCCACCTATACACACTTGGCCCCTTCCTCTCCGCTACCGCACAACTGCACCCCAAAGTCAACATCAAGCAGATTGTCATTGCCCTCATCGACCGCCTGGCCGCATATGCAGCGTGCGAAGCCGAGAACGAGGATCCGGAGGAGACGAAGCGTCAGGAAGAGGCTGCTGCTCGCCGTCTTGCCGAGCGCGTAAAGCAAGCACGCGGAACACGGCAGAACGGCTATAATGCGACGTCTCCCACAACGGAGGCTGCACCTGAGAGCAATGAGTGGGTTTCTCCGCCTACCAGCCCCGTAGCGTCTGAGAAGCCCGAACCGACCTCGCCGACCACAAATGGGACCGCAGAAGGCGGTGAGCCGGAGAAGAACGGGAAGGGCAAGGAGAAGGAGAAGGAGAAGGAGCCCGCGGAGCCGGAGCAGGTCAAGAAGTTCAGAGGTGTCCCTGAGAACGTGAAGTTGTTCGAGGTGTTCTGGCACCAAGTGGTCGAGCTCATCAAGGTAGGTGACATATGAACCCACGTCCTGTATGTCGTGTGACTGACTTCCCAATTGCAGGCCCGTCCAGACCTCTCGATACAGGATATCACTGCTCTCCTTGTTTCGTTGACGAATCTTTCGCTGAGCTGTTATCCTGATCGTCTGGAATATGTCGACCAGATACTCGGCTTTGCCGCGGAGAAGATCAAGGAGTTCACTGACAGGTGAGTAAAGCTTTCACAAGTTCGAAGCAGCATCTTCTGAGACATCTGTCAACAGCCCCGACCTTCACCATCCCCAGACCATTGCGAACATGTCGGCGCTCCTCAACGCGCCGATCAACTCGTACCAATCTGTGCTCACACTCCTTGCTTTGCAACAATACTCTGCGCTCCTTACCCAGCAACCATACTCCACCCGGCGCACCCTTGCGCATTCACTCATCTCATCTGTCCTCAAGAACGAGACAATCATCGAGACGCCAGAGGACGTCAATGGCATCCTTGAGCTATGCCACGTGCTCATACGCGACCAACCAGATGCAGGTACAGGGCCCGGGGCACCACATCAACCAATGGGTAGCAAGGATCCGCGGAGAGGGCCATATCAATACGAGCGGGACGAGATGGCAGAAGAGCAGGGATGGGTTGCTCGTGTGGTGCATCTCTTCCGCTCAGAGAACCTCGACGTGCAATTTGAGGTGAGGCTAGCCCTGACTACTCTGATTTATGAATGCTTATCGTCGCGTCACAGATTCTGCAAACGGCACGGCGACACTTCGAGACTGGCGGTGACCGTATGCGCTTCACGTACCCGGCCCTTGTCACGTCCGCCATCAAGCTCTGCCGACGGTACAAGAACCGCGAGCACCTGGAGGACGACTGGAAGTCCAAGGTGACGACCATCCTCAAGTTCGTACGACAGATCAACTCGATCCTCTCCAACAACGTGGATGCCCCCGCGATCGCTCTGCGCCTGTTCCTCCTCGCTGCGCAGATCGCGGACGAGTGCGGCTTCGAGGACCTCACGTACGACATGTACGTCGACGCGTTCTCCGTCTACGAGGAGAGCATCTCGGAGAGCCGCGCGCAGCTGCAGGCGATCACGCTCATCATTGGCACGCTGCAAGGCGCCCGCGTCTTCAGCGAGGACAACTATGACACGCTCATCACGAAGGCTGCGCTGCACGGCGCGAAGCTGCTCAAGAAGCCTCACCAGGCAACCGCTGTCAACCTTGCCAGTCACCTCTGGTGGCAAGAGGCCCCTGAGGAGGAAACTGTTGAAGAACCGAAGGAGACGGAGAAGGAGAATGGCGCGAAGGAGGAAGGCGAGAAGAAGGCGGTAAGTCTACACTTGGAATGCCATACCTGCTCGGACAGAAAGCTAATTCTGTCTGTGCAGTACCCTCTACAAGACAGCAAGCGTGTCTTGGAGTGCCTGCAAAAGGCACTCCGGATCGCAAACTCGGCGACGGAGGAGATCATCACTATCCAACTCTACTGCGACACCCTCGACCATTACCTGTACTACCTCGACCACGGTGCTCCAGCGGTGAGTTACTATCGTGCCTGCGTCTACTCATACATTGCTGAGAGTATATTCCTCCAGGTCACGCCAAAGTTTGTCAACAGCCTTGTCGAGCTCATCACGTCTTCAATCGACAACATCGCATCGCCCGACGTGCACCCGTCACAACGCGCACCGCCAGGGCTCCTCGAGGGCGTACAGACCCCCGAGATGATTACCCGCCACTTCCGCAACACACTTATGTACATCCAGACGAAGAAGGCCGCAGCAGCAGCGGCCGCGGAGACCGCCAGCTCAGGGACAATTGAGTCGAGGTGGGACGACGTAGACGTCGTCGGCGCGCTGCTCAAGATGGGGATCCCGGCACGGTGAACATGGGCACGCAGCCTTCGGTGTAGGAGTAGGACTGATGCCCGTCTTGGGCACCTGAATGGCTTTTGGGTGGATGGGATGGACTTGGCCAAGTTGGTTCTGCGTGATCGATCCGTATACTATGTTGTCTATTGTGACTGGTAGATACCTTTACTTCTTCATGTACATAATGCCACGTTCACATTGCTTCACTCTCGTTTGTTCATGCCATACGTTATCAGTCTGATGTCGAGAACCGTGAGCATGGTAAGTGCTGTTGTGTGGTTACTTAGATGAAAAAGAATAGTATTTTTGTGCTGCTTATATCCTTCAAGGGCGCTTGGCACAGTGGTAGCGCGCCTGCTTTGCACTTCGGTTGCAAATTGCATGAGGTCGAGGGTTCAAACCCCTCAGCGTCCAATTACTTTTTCTCTTTTTATCTCCGCTGAATTGACAAGCTACACGCTACAGTTCACCCTAACACAGCGAGGAGGGAGCTAGCAGGCAGGTTATGGGTAGGCATCATGAAAGAGCTACGATACAAATACACTAGCAGTCTGGAGCCACAGCCTCAAAGCCGAACCGACTACTCATTCCCAAAGTACTCCTCTACCAACGCCTTCTTCCTCAGCTCCAGCAGATACGCCTCCATCTCCTCCCTAGTTGGAAGCTTCGGCGGCATGAGGATCTCCGGCGAAAGAATGGGGATGTACGCTGCCGTCCGCTTCGCGTGGGCGAGCATTGCCTCCTCGGTCGAGGCCCCGGAAGTAGGCGGTGGTGGTGCGCCATCCGTCTTTGCGCGTTTTACGACCTCGGAATCGGCTGCCATCTCAACGTCGCCATCTTCGTCTGGGGCTTTGCGTTTGGGTTCGGGAGGACCTGCTTGGCTGGCATCTGTGATGGAGACGGCTGCGTGTTGTTTCGCGGGACGGGGTATTGGGGGAACGGGCTCGTCCGTTGGAAGGCCAAGTACCGTGCGGAGGTGGTTATACGCGTCCTCCCATTCTAAAAGTGTTATAGCATCAGAAAATAGGTCCCAAGCATGGGGTAAGAGGTAGAAAGGGTAGCACACGAGCGCGACGATGATAACAACACGTCAGCCCACCAACTGTGCCACGGCGAAGGGGAGAATGCCAAACACAAGCGGACTTGGGATACGTACCTTCTTCTTCAGCATGCATCTCATACTCCAGTAGCTTCCCGTCCGCCTCGTCCAAGTCTCCAAAATATGCAGGGCCCTGGTTCTGGAACTTCTTGTAGTAGTTCTGAACCTTGTTCTCCTCGTCCTCCTCTGTCTTCTTGCTCATGAACAGTTCCTTCACGCCTGGAAGTTCCTTTGCTCGTCCGAAATACTTGTACCCCTTTGTCCCTGGTACCTCCTTCCCGTCGTCGTCCAACATGGCCACATTGCGCCGATAGTTCGCGCCTCCGAGCGCAACTATCTGGTTCTCCCAATGCCGCTTTTCGCGCAGAAGCCGGTTGATCTCATCGTTCAGGTCTCGCACCTCGTAGTCCGTCAGGCCGGCTGTCAAGCATGGACAGGGCGTGCTCAACAAGGGGGAATGCGCGTAAATGTGTTGCATGACGCACCGTCCTGGATTTTGGACACCTTCCTGCTAATCTCGCGCAGGATTTCTCCTCTCCACCTCTCGCATTCTCGCAAGCTCTTGCACGCGCTGGCCATGCGCGGTCTCCGGTCACTGCGAGTCCCCAGCCCAAGCTCGGCGGCTTGAGCCTCACGGAACCGGTAGAGCATGGATTGTGCCTTCTCCTCATTACGAGCCTGGAGCAGAAGCAGTATGAGCGCGGTGCACTTGTGTCAAGCATAGCCATCACATCAAGCGTACCATTTTGTAGACACGAGTTCGAGATGTGAAGTATAGATGGAGGACCCGGTCAGAGGTGAATAAAGTACAGGTGCAAGGAGCGGATGTTCAGTGACGCGACGAGACGCCCACGCGCTTTTGCACCGCTGGTTTGCCTGCTTTTGGACCAACTCTTCCTCGGCCCTGGAGTAGCTCTGCAGCTTGCTTACTTCCCATATCCTCTTCTCGATCTCAACGCTGCGGTCAACTACTTTGTGAAGCTTGCAAATAATGGCGGCCGTCTCGCTCTCGAAGTCGGAACGCGCGTACATCCAGTCCTCACTCAAGGCGCATCCTCCATTACGCGCGGACGGTCGTGGTCTCCTCGACTTCCGCACTGTCCTCCTAGAGACGGGTGTGGCGCCATTAGCAAATGGTAGCGCAAGACTTAACATTGGAAAGATGGCACGCGAAGGTGGCGGTGGGACAGAGGTTGTCGCGGCCGTGAAGCTCGAGGTGGAGGATGTCGAGACTGGAGATGGAGTCGACGGCGGGCGGGTAGTTTGCTCGGTCACTTGGTGCGTAAAATCCCTCGCTCTCGCTTCACTGAGGTCCAACACGTCTATTCCTGCAAGGTAGCTCCCCAGCCGCATATTCTCATCTCTCATCAAACGCACTGGACGAACTGCAGCACGACCTCAGCGTCATTCTTCAGCAGACCATCGCACATCCCTCCCTACATCCGAAAAACCTCACGATCATCCCGCGAAAGAAAGCTTGGCTCCTCAACCTTGATGCGGTTGTTCTGTCTGACGCAGGGAATGTTGTCGACGCGCTTTTCATGGCGGCTCGTGCCGCACTGTGGGATGCGAAAGTGCCCCGGACTCGCGCTGTCCAGTATCGTGCTCCTGAAACTTTGAAGTCCTCAAGGAACGATGCTCCAGGCGCGATGGACGTTGACGAAGGTACCAGTGGGTTTGACACTCGAGACATGGCCCGGACGGCGGCAGACTTCGAGCTTCCCGACTACTGGGATGAGGGAGAAGTACTCGACGGTCGGGACAAATGGCCCATCTGTGTCACGTTGAACCTCGTATGTTCCTCCCAAGAAGCAAACATATGTTATTATGTTATTCTTACAGCACGCAATCCTCAGCTCCCATCAGTGCATCTCCTGGATGCAACACTGGCAGAAGAAGCGTCAATACTTCTGCGCCTGCATCTGATGTTCTCTTTCGCGCCATCTGCGCCTCCAATCTTGCAGTCCATGCGCCTACTTGGTCCAGCAGAACTGGAACTGAAAGATCTGAAAGATTCCATAGCGGTTGGTGTTGGTCATTAGATCTATCCAAGACGCTACTGACATGTAAAACTCAGGTTGGTGAACGGTATGCGAAGGAACTATTCACGGCTTTGGAGAGCAAATTGCGGGAAGAGGACAATAGACGGAACATCAAGGCTAGAGACAGATTCGCACTCATGCGATGAGGCCAGCGTGTCTTTCGCAAAAGTACCTTACTTGTATTCTACGCTCGTTCTATCTTTGCTCTGTAAAGTGGCCGGCTTTGTATTCTCGATCATCACAACGACTGGACCAATACCGCTAGGATTGATGTCTGCTACACCGAAGAGCTCTTTTAATCTGGTTGAAACTTGGGATGAGAGCAGTACCCAGCATCATCCACGCACTCAAGCGGAAGTTAGCAATACACCGCACAAGGAATAGGATACCCATGGTCATTAATCTACATGTTTGCATTGTGAGAGCTAGATAACGAGATGATACGAGGAGGTACTAAGTTCAAAGATCCTATATTACTCAGTCCCAGGACGGTGAAGTGCTGTACGAATGGTTCCGGTTCGTGGATCCATTCGTGTTCTGCGCAGGACTCGACGGCGACCATTGTGGCGACGTCGGACTGTACGCAGGAGAGGCGGGGGAATATGCAGGGGCTAGCAATAGATCGTTAGCATCGGCACGACAGGCACGAGAGTAAATGCGACTTACAGGTTGGTGAGTATGTTGGAGAGGTAGGTGAGTATCGCGGCGAAGCAGGTGAGGTGGGAGAGGTGGGAGAGTACTTCGGCGACGTGGGCGACATCTGCGCCGGGGACGTCGGCGAATACCGCGGTGATGCAGGGCTGAACGACGGGCTCGTTGGCGAATAACGAGGCGAGGTCGGACTGAAGGACGGAGACTGTGGGCTGTAACGGGGAGAGGTGGGGGAGAACGACGGTGACGTCGGAGAGTACCGTGGGCTGGTGGGAGAATAGCCAGGGGATGTGAGGTTAAGAGCAGGCGACGTCGGCGAGTACGTCGGCGACGTTGCACCCCGACTATGGTCATAGAATGGCGACGTTGCGTACGGCGAGGTACCCATTGGCGATGTCGCACCCGCGAACGGCGACTGTGCAAGGTAGGGAGAAGTGGGGGAGTACGCGTTCGGCGAGCTGGGGCTGTACCCTGCAGCGGCGGGAGACATGGCACCGGCACCCATTGGGCTCATGCCGAAGCCCATGAGGTTGTAGTTCGCTGGAGCCTCCTCGCCACCATTGACCGCCAGCGGTGAGAACGCTGCCGTCTCGCCCTTGAACGAGACATCCTGCGCCCACATCGGAGAGTTGCTGTCGTACGGGGTCATCGCAACCTGGCCAGGAGTCATGCCGCCGTCGGCCTGCGCCGCGAGCATCGTCTGCACGGGCAAGCGATGGTCGACGATGACATCCTTGAGCATGTCAATGTCGAGTGCGACATCGAACGCGCCCGTACCCATCGGTGCCATCTGTCCAAACAGGATGTTCTCCGCGATACCGTGACAGTCATCCTTCTCTCCAACCGCCGCTGCCTCCATGAGAATCTCGACCGTTTCCTCGAACGAGCAACGCATGAGCGCTCCAGTGTCGGCACGGTTGATACCGTGGCGGGTGATAGCCATGAGTGTACCGCGATGCGTCATGAGGTCGCAAAGGAGTGCGAGGTGACGGTAGTTCACGTAGGAACCGTCGAACTCGATGACACCACGGAGCTCCCGCATGATGGCCGCACGCGCCGCCTCGATACCCAGGACATCGAAAATCTCCACGCAAGAGTTCGAGTACGTCCGCTTGAAGTCGACGCCGTCGATGCACATGACCGTCTTGAGGTTGACACCGTCCGTCTCCAACACCCACTCCTTCTCCGTCCGCGCCTCGATGCTGCCCGACGGCGAGATGGTGATCTTGTCGTGCTCGAGCAAGAAGGCACGCTGGATACCCGGAACACCACGCAGCTCGACCGAATTCAGCATCGTGTTCTCGAGTTGGCGCAGGAAGATATCCTCCTCGACCTGACCCAGGTCCTCCTCGTCCTTGTCCGCGCCGCCGAGGACACGACAACGAATGACCAGCTTCTCGGAGTTGTCCTCGCTCCAGATGACGAACAAGTCGGTCTTGAAGCTCTGTGCAATTCGGTTCGCAACGTAGGTCATGGTGAGCTTGCGATCGATCATCTTGGCACGGTCGAGCTCCAGACGGAGGAGCCAAGGCGACATGAGGTGCAACTTCTGCTCAACCTCCTCGTCGGGGATGGCGAAGAACGCGTGAACAAAGTCCTCATCGTCCTCGATGATGGTAGAG